CAGGCTAGACTAAGCACCCCATATATGTATACATTCAGTTCTTACACTTAGAAAACACTTATTGCCATCAACAATGAGCACTGAGACACCACTTCATTAGAATTAAGGCACACAAAACCTCCTGTCTGGGCCACACTAAAATAGTAACGTAACTAGATTAATAGTAATCTAATAGTAACCCCTCCCTTGCTTCGTGATTGCGCATACACAGCAACAGCAACCAACACGCTTGAGAGCAGGGCAGAGCTGTTGCCCAGAGGAAATTTGTTAAAAATCCAAAAGTAAACTCAGTGGGATAATTGAAGAAGACAAAATGAAATCCACTATCAAATCTGTTTAGAAGGGGAAACCTAGCAAGTTGGGGGTTCAAGTATCCGGCAGCAAAATGTAAAAGCTTCCAGTACCTGCAGGAGCTTTGGAAGGCAGAGCGGTGAGATGCTGCACCTCCAGGTCATCTGCAGCCAGTCGCACCGTGCCTTCCTTCCACCTTGTCTCAGTCCTTTCTCCAGGCTGGTGTTACAGACCTAAGGTGATGAAATCTTGTTTGGAGTCTTTAATGCATTTTAATAGATCTCACATTTAGGAAGTTTTTCCCTTACATTTCCTGTTGCTATTTCTTCTGTCACGCCATAGATTTTCTGTCACCTTAAAAATTCCTTTTGCAAGGAGATGGTTAAAAATCAAAACTGTCTAAATAGTTTAAAAAAAAGCCCAGCCTTTCACATTAGAAGTCTTCCTAATGTCAACTTACTAAAGCTCTTTATTCGTCAGTATCTCCTCCTCATTAGCCTTAATCAAACTTTCCTCAGAATCAGCTCCCCCTGTGCCATCGCCTTCCCATTCCTCGCCAGCGAGGCCGGGCTCACACTGTAAACTGTGAGTTTAACTATAGCTCCATTTCATCTCTACGAACTGCAGGATAAGGACCCATTTCTCAGAAATTATAGTCAGCAATATTAGTCCCTGGGTACAGTATTACCATATCTGGGATGATTTAGGGACAATGAAATCCCCGTGCCATCAAGCTTGGTGATTCTTCTGACACAAATGATCCTGCAACTCAATATTCACTGCGTGTGCGCACTGAGATTTAGTCCGTTTTCCTTCCCTGTTCCTTTTCATACCCACCCAGCACAGGGCTTGGCTGATGGGAGGAGGATACTGTCACTTTTTCCAAATATAATTGAGCTCTGTGAATGCAAGATGAAAACTGCCGCAGGAGTAAATCACCCTGAAACTCAACGCTGCTAATCCAAGGGCACCGCGTCAGGAGGAGCAGGGACGGAGTTTGTCGTTCTTGGGGAGTCCCCCCAGCACAATCTAGTTCAATTGTGCTTTTTTTAGCCAAACAATCCACTTTCACTTGAAAATAAAACCACGGCTGGGGTAAAGGTGGTTCTGTGGGATTGCGGGAAGTGACCCACTGGCCGGCAACTACCTCACGTTAACTCCTACTCAGTTTTAATTGTCACTTAGTACACTGCTTTTGGAGAGTCCGGAGACTCTGCTCTATCATTTCTCAGTAATCTAAATGTTCTTAAGCGCCCAGCAAAAATCTGAAGTCTTAAGAAAACCAGGATCGCCCACAGGCTCCGCTGGAAGCCTGCCAAAGGTTTCAGCGCCGTTAAGAACTTGGCCGTTCTTTGCAATCTCACTTATTAAGAGGCAAATAAATGATAACGGCAGTTTGGGTCCATTTCCCAGACCATTTGTGCTGAAATTAATAAACTGAGAAACAATTCAGTGGCACGGCCTCTAATTTTACACGGATTTAAACCATACCGGTACACGACGACTTCTGAACCTACTCGTTCGCCTTTCTGTTGTCCGTGGTGACTTTCTGGATCCTGGATGCTGCTGTGCCCCTTTGCTGCAACTCCGAGCAACAGATTCCCCCGTCATACTGAATCTGGCTCCTGCTTCATCGTAGCTCTCTAGTGCATGCAAGCCATTTTTCTGCAAGAGGATGGATAAAATGAAGGTGTGAAAGGTATCAGACAGCAGAACAAGGAAAATTATCATGTAAATTGACAGCGAATGTTGAGAACTGGGGTAATTAGCAGAAAGACAAAAAAGCTTTCGTGTCTTACAGGACACCTCCAACGCATCCAGCACTGCCTAACAGCCTCGCGCAGCTCTCGAGACGTGCAGTTACCATCTGAAACGACGTGACGCAGCTGCCGGAACGTGACCAGGGTCCCAGCTGGCTTACCCTTCCAAAGCGCCATTGCTGGTCCTCAGGACATCAACGTCTGAGAAGTAATGAAGAAGAGTGGACAAAAAATGGAGGATGATGTCTTCCACAACAAATTCCTAGACAGGGCACTTGAGCAAAGCCCAGCAACGCAGCCGGGCTCTGACAGCACCGTTTGTCTCTACACCTAGTACTTCTGTTTTTACCTGAAGCTAGCGCAATCCTTGGTCTTTCCCAGTCATCAGCTGCAAATGGGAACCATCATTGTGCATTCCCAGGGTTTTTTTTTTAATGCTCAAACCCTCAGCTCGATTTAAAATAGGATGCTCTTTACGTTGGAAAATAGTCACGTATTACTGCGTAGCACCGGTACCCTTCACCAGCAGATCGCTGGGCAGTTCTGTGCATGGCCGTGTTGCCATCAAACACCGGTGGGCTCCAGTCCTTGTCAGCTCAAACAAATAGGACAGAACACACGCTAACGCGAAGACCACCTGACAGAGCAGCTTTCTAAATGCACCCGGCAGCATAAATCACATTCCCAGACGATACACAGAGACAATTCTCCATGTAAAATGATTACGATTTAACAGAAAAACTTATTTTTAGCTTGAGGCGTTCTGGCAGCTGGAGATGCAGATTTGCGGCTATTCTAACCGCTAAACATGCATGGATCGCGGCGCAGCGCTGCCTGCTCTTTAGCTTTTAATTTACAGAACTAATTAGTTGGATTTACTGCCTTTAGCATCCCTCACCCTCTGTTTGCTTAAGGAGGAATAGATGAGCCCTGCGTGTCAAGTCAGGCCCCACAGGCCAATAACTCCAGCACAAGGGCACAGCCGGGGGAAACACCTTCGGTGTCGCAAGAGCTTCAGATCTTGCAGCAGCGAATATACGCGTCGCTTCGTGCGGAGAAGAGACAGGCAGAGCCCTCGCGTAGCCGAGACGTGGATCATCCGCGGGGTTTAAAACTTCTCTAGCAACTTTTACATGTTTGGAGGAGAGGTGGTGTTCTGCTCAGCAAGCAGATTTCAAAGCAGGATAAAGGAAAATACAGGAGTTTCGTAGCAAAACCAACAGCGTCAATACTTTCCAAAGCGTATTACGGTATCAGCATGAAGCGACGTGCGGCAAGGCATTCAGGCCGTTGATTCCGTACATCCGAGATGTAATGGGGTTTGGAAGTTCGCTTGGCAGTAAGAGAGCATGGCTGAGGAGCTACAGAGATGGCAGTTAGCAGCTAAAATCATCATTTTCCTGCTCGGCTGCAGAAAATGTCCCGTACAGCAACGCACAGGACAGCGACACACCGTTGAGACTTCTAAGTACTGAAAAGCTTAAGTAATAGTTAAGCAGTAAGTTCTTCACTGAAAAGAAACCCTGCAATTACACTTGATTAGCCGTACTTTATTTACGACTAGGGGATGAAGAGACCTTCCAGCCACAAAGATGCTCACAGAGAACACCAGAGCATTCCAGCTGGCAACCCGTTCAAAACCCGATTCGTTTGGAACTGCTCGTTGTCTGTGTAGAAGCCCAACAACGTAAGGCTCTACAAAAGCAAGGTAGGCTATTTCAAAATTCCTTATATTAAAACATTTAATTAAAATATTTGAATGTAAAGGTAATTACGTTATTATTACTGGGTGAAATCCCAAGCTCACCGCCCAGAGCGCGCTTACAGCCTCACCCGGGCTGTGACCAAGCCTCGACCATCCCACAGCCTCCAGGCTCACCTCCCTCTGGTACCTGGAAATTCGGGCTCCTTGGGAAACCCCGAGGAGTTCAAACCTGCCCTCAGCCCTCCCGCTCCGGCGCTTGAACCACGCTTGCTCCCTCCAAAGTCTCTTCCACAGGACACAGCAGAGCAGACCAGAGCAACGTCACGGTACCCTAACGGCCTTTCTCGGGAATCTTTGACTTTCTGCTTCACCCCAGCTTCTCAACCTCCCCCATGGACGTCCTGGGGCTTCGCCCAAGCTGCATCTCCGGGAGGACGCCCCGGGCAGCGCACAACCTCCTCCCTGCTCCCGCTGCCGGGGAGCTGCGGCCTGTCAGCAGCCGCATCCCACTGCTCGGATGCTCAAGCAAGCAGTCAGTAGTTTCGTTGGCCGTTTCTAAGCTGCTGCTTCCGGGTAGCGTATACGCAAGATTATTACACATTTTACTTCTTACATTTGCTATGGCAAGTATAAGACATATCAGCTATGATAATACAAGATGGAAAAACAGCTCCTATTGGTGCATCTCACACTGGCTGCTTTCTGCCCGTCCAGCCCCTCCAGAGCACTTCCAGCACTCTAGACACCAAAAATCTGATGTGAAACTCTGCCCTGTTGGTTTCCATCAGATTCCCTCTGAAAACAGCACAGGTTGAAACAGGGCGCTGAACTGAACCGAGAGCCGACACTGCAGTCCCGGGAAAGGCCAGAGACCGAAAAAGCACTCCCAGAAAGCTGCTGAAGGAGACATTTACACACCGGGGCTTCTGGTTTGGCTCTGCACTAGTGTAAGTAGCAACTATACAAATGGTGCATTTTTACTCAACAAATCTTGTTTCCTGCTTAGTCACTACCACAGCAAAGTCTGTATTTGATTAGCAGAAGCAAGAATATCCAAGCTTCAGCACAGAAATCTAACACACCATCAGTTTCACGGAGCTAGTTCTGGTTTCACTACCAAGAAAAGCTTACCAAAATTTATTTTTCTCTGCAGCGACTGCAAGATTGCTGTATTCTTCCCCTTTTCGTAGGGTGCCACTTTTTAGACGGTAACAAAGATAGTTTATCTCCGTAAATTCACTTACAGGCTCCATGTTGGGCCTCCCAGTAAGCCAAGTTTCAAAACATCCTGCAGTGCTCCAGCTTTCAGGTAGGGAAATCTCACTTTTCACTTGTGAATTAAGACTGGATTAATTATCTGAATTAAGATGCTCCAACCAAATTCCTGGCCTTTAGCAAAGCATCGCCTAAATACTGGATTAATTATCTGAATTAAGATGCTCCAACCAAATTCCTGGCCTTTAGCAAAGCATCGCCTAAATACAAACACACACGTGTACATGGCAAGTACCCTCCTGACACTAACCACATCGCAGGTGAAATAAAGGCAAGAGAATTTAGAAAGGCATTAAGAACAGTCCAAGCCAAACCGTATCCAGCTTTATTAAAGGTACTTTTCATAAACAATCATGGTAATTTAGGCAGGACATGGGCTACAATCTGCAACATTTTACAACAACCGTCAAACTCCCCTCCCTTCATGGACTACCAAAACGTAAACGTTGCTATAAAACGGAAGAATCTTCATTTCATACTTGTAGAGGGGAAAGTTTAGAGTGAGGGTGGACACTTTCACATTTAGCATGTTGTTTAACAACGCTTCACAAACCTACCCTGACTTTAAGAGGAAAAAAAATTAAAATGCAGGTTTCTTAATCTGAAGATCCACAATATAAAAGAGGAAGTACAGCTCCTTTTCGAGCCATTAGATCCCTAAATCAGACACCAGAAGTCTGCATCACCTGCCAATGCATTTAGAGTGGCAAGCCCCAAAATGCCAATTCTCCCGTGCTTTGGAGTGCTT